TCACTGCTCACATGTCAGGGTTAGGGCTGCTGCGGCTGGGGTCAGGGCTTGGGGTCAGGGGTCAGCTTGTGACCAGGACTCAGGGTGAAGGATCAAGCTTGCCTTCCTACCCAAATTCAGTCCCCAGGAAAAGGAACTAAAAGTTCATTGCATTAATAGATATTTAAAAGTCATACTTGGAAATTGTTTAAAGAAGGAACAAAACCATCAGCCAAAGGATAGTGAAATCCCAGGGTATCTGGAAACCTGACTTAGGAGGGAGAGACATTAAAAAGCTGTGTGATTTTTTTTTTTTAACTTTGAAGAACCAGACTAAAGGACTTTAATTACTGGATCAAATTCACTCTAGAGTAGTGGTTCTCAACCTTCCTAATGCCGCGACCCTTTAATACAGTTCCTCATGTTGTGGTGACCCCCAATTTCATTGTTACAAATTGAACATAATTAAAGCATAGTGATTAATCACAAAAACAATATGTAATTATATGTGTTTTCCAATGGTCTTAGGCAACCCCTGTGAAAGGGTCGTTCGACCCCCAAAGGGGTGGCGACCCACAGGTTGAGAACCGCTGCTCTAGAGGAAGGAATCTGGGATGTGCTCCAGGGTTCTATCAGCGCCCTCATATTTTTAGAATATAGAAGGGCCCTGGCCGGTGTGGCTCAGTTGGTTGAGCATCCTCCCATGCGCCCAAAGGTCGCTGGTTTGATTCCTGGTCAGAACATATGTCCAGGGTTTTGGGCTCGATCCCACATTGGAGTGCGTGCTGGAGGCAGCTGATCATGTTTCTCACAGAGATGTCCCCCCCCCCACCCCCCGCTCCCATCTCCCTCAATGGAAAAAAATATCCTTGGGTGAGGATTAACTAATTAAATAAAATAAGGGCAAGAGTTAATGCTTTTGCCAACAGGGCTATTTAAAATCTACTCCAGACCTGTAAAGTTAATATGATTTCCCATGGCAGGATAGGCCAATATCCTGGACCGCCGTCCTACCCTTCCCTCCCTAGTCCCACCCCCAGGGTGACCGCTTAGCTGGGCATCTGGCTCCCTGGGCAGGCAGTGGCCACAGAGCTGCAAGGTGGAGGCTGCAGCGATGGCCAGGAACCCTCCCTCCCCCAACCCAAGCTGTGTGTTCACTGGCTGGCCGGCCAGGCGTCCTGCTGCTAGTCACACAGGGTCACTCGGTTGTGCAGGTAGAGCCCATTGCTGTTGAAGGCCAGCATCACCTCCAGAGAAGCCTCTGTTGCCCTGCAGGCCCCAGAGCAGCCGGTTGCTGACTGGACAGCTGTGGGGAGAGGCAGCGTCACCCATTGCTAGGAGCCTGGGCTTGGGATCCTCAGTGTGGATGGACAAACATTGATTTCCCTTTATGTGCTTGTCCCTGTGTGATTGTAGATGCTGGGTCTCTTGCTGAGAACTTTGCATACATTATTTCATATCAGTCCTAGAAGAAAGACAATACTTTTGCCCCCTTCCTTCTCTTTTTAAAAAAATATATTTTTATTGATTTCAGAGAGAAGGGAGAGGGAGAGAGAGATAGAAACATCAACGATGAGAGAGAATCATTGATCGGCTGCCTCCTGTATGCCCCCTACTGGGGGTTGAGCCCGCTACTGGGGATGGGTCCTGATCAGGAATTGAACCTTGACCTCCTGGTTGATGAGTCGATGCTCAACCACCGAGCTTCATTGGCCGTGCAAAGTTGTTCAATTTTTACCTTGTCCGATTAAGGTGCTGCTCCAATGAGCATTGGTTCATTGAATCTTCACAACTAATCTGAGTAAAGACTATTATTTCTATTAACCAAATGAAGAAACAAAGGCTTAGATAGGGGAAGACATCTATTCAAGGTCACACAGCCAGGAAGTGGTCCATCAGACCCCAGAGCCCAGTGTCTTCTCTACCATGCTGCACTATCTCACAAAAATACAGCTTCATTCTCATACCTGAGCCAGCCACTCTGGAGAGAGAGAGAAGGGCCCAGCTCAGCACAGAGCCTTCCTCTTTTCCCTGGGCAATGGGCAGAAATCGGTCCATCACCTGATACCCTATCATTGCATCCTTGACTGTTGTCAAAGGTCTAATTCAGTAAACTAGTGACCCAACCCAGGTGACAGGCTCTTCATTCCCACAACCTAGTTCTGAGGAGGCACCAACCCTTGTCCCCAACCCTGCCCCGGTCTTGCACCCACTCCTTCCGCACCCAACTTTCTTGTAGCTCTGTGCAGAGTTAAAGGGATTGCAATAGGGCAGAAGAGCTGGCTGGGATGCATGGAAAGAGTAAGGGGATCTAGGCTCTAGACCTGGGTCTATTACTGACTCACTGTGTGATTTTTAGGAAGATCCCACCCACCTCAGTGCCTCCATGTCCCCCTCAGCACAGTGAAGGACTTGGGCTCCGCATTGGAGGAGCCCTCTATACTCTGGTGACCAATGGGTCTGTTTGCTACAAAAGTCCAGGCTGAAATAAACAGATGTTTGCTATAAGGGTTTCCATTTTTTATTTGCAAGGAGAGATGTTTCCATTGGATCTAATTTTGTTGTTTTTCTTCCGTGTGGTCAACCAGTTGTCTCTGCCTCCTTACAGAAAAGTCCATCCTTTCCCTACTGACTTGCCATGCTATCTGTCAGTATGTATCCAGATGGATTTTCATTCCCTTTCTTTCATCCCACTGGTTCACTTGTCTATCCCTGCACCAACACCATGTTATGTTACTGTTACTTTAATGTAAATCTCAGTCTATGGTAGAGTCTCCCATCTTGTTCTTCAGAATTATCTTGGCCATGTTGGCCTTTTGATTTTCCTTATATATATTAGAATCTGCTTATCGAGTTGTGATTTTGATGGGAATCATGCCACAATTGTAGATTTGGGAGAATTGACATCTTTATGATACTGATGTTTCCTGCCCACAGCAGCTCCTTTGAGAAGCCATGGAGTATGGCCTGGGCTCTGAAGTCAGACCTGTGATAGGATCCTAGCTCTGTGATGGGGACAAATCACTTCATGTTTCTGAGCCTCAGTTTCCTCAGCTGTAAAACAGGGATGATAATAGTACCCACCTCACTGATGGTCATAAGGATTAAATGAGATAATGCATGTGAAGAACCTAGCATAGTGCTTAGCATATACTTGGTGCTCAATAACTAGAACCTGCTAATAACTATCCCCTTCTGCTCCTCTTACCAAAATTGCTATCTGCTTCCTGGATACTCCTATTCCTGGAAAATGTCATGGACTCATGGGAGTGATGAGACATGCAATTTGCTGCCACCTCCCAATATCTTCCCCCAAGAGAGGGCAGCAGGTGTCTGAGCTCCTCGGCCCTCAGTTCTAGGCCAGCTTGGGAGAAAATTAGCCTGCTGAAACCCTAAGCTATTGGTCCAGCCCAGATGGGAAGGACAGACAAAAAGGGGGAGATAGCTGAGATGACAAATGGAGGAAGTAGATAGACAAAGCTAGCATCCTCAAAGAAGATGGATGAGCAAAGCCAGAAGCCCCTTGGAGGTCATCCCATCATGCTCCTGTGTCCAAACTCATTGGTGCCCAAGCCTTTTAGACAATTAAAGGGTGGGTGGAGGATGGCTGTGCTCACATTATAGGATCTTCCAGAGGATACTACCTGATCTTACCTGATCTTCCACCACCTTCTTCCCCTCTCTGGCCAGCCAGACAAGGAGAAATGAGAGTCCCCAGAGAAGGATAGATGGAAAGGGTGAATGTGGATACTCACCAGGCAGATTGAGGGCTCGATCTCCAGTAAATAGCAGCAGCAGCAAAAGCCACTGGCTGCCCATAGCTCTGCTGGTTGATGATCCTGGAAGGCACTGGAAAGAGTCCTGGCCCAAACATCAGCTCCAAGATAGTGAGGCACTGCTGTCACTGGGGCCACCTCTCACCTGCCTGCTGAGTATACCACCCTGTCCCAGGTGTCCAGACTTTTCCCCCCAGAAGATCCCAGAGGGCTCCTCTGTAGTGAAACCAATGCTGATGGGAGGGGTATGGAGGGTAGAGTTTCCCCATCAGCTGCAATCAGTAGGTCTCTGGGGATCCCCATTCAAGTTGATGAATATCCCCAAGGTCCCTAGTTGTCAGTCTTTGCTAAATAGCTGGGCAGAACTCTGGGCCTTTCAGCCTTCCCCTCTATCCAGCACCGAGGAACCTGAGTCTCAGTGATGTGGCTGATTTCATCAGCCTCCCCACTCCTGGGCTGAGAGCGGGCCACTTGATCTTGGAGCTAGAAACCAATCTCATCCTCTCCCCATTGCACAGATGGGGAAAGCAGAAAACAAGGCCCAGTGACTTGCCTAAGGACCAGAATCCTGTCCTCCAACACATCTCTTCCTGTTGCCCGTGACGGCCACAGCTTTCTCAGACTCTCTGCATTGCCTAAGTCTGGGACCTACTATGGCAGTAAATGGTGTCTGGTTTGTCATTCTCCATTGCCCCAAGATGGAGCTTCCTGTACCTGCATGACTTGGTCAATGGTGACCCCATTAGACTAGAATTCCCCAGAATGAGGACCAGTCTCTTCTGCCTTCAGACAGAGTGGGTAGGACTGTCTCCTGCATCAGGCAGGGGCTCCCAGCCACCAAATTTTAGGTCTCTAAGCACATGATTGTATCTTTACCATTTAGTCACAGTCATGTAGGGTGCAGATTCTCTCTCCCATTGGACTGGAAGCTCTGGAGGGCAGTCAGTGACTTTCCCATCAGACAAACAGGCTATTGAGGGGCAAGATCAGTCTTGCCCATCAGACCTGGGGCAAGGTTGCCCCAAGGTGTTGGAGATCCACAAATCAGACACATTGATGCCAACATAAAACTTTATTGTCAATACACAGATGCCTAGCCTTACTGGCCTCAGCTTTTTCCTCTTAGTTCTTGGGCCCACGGAGGCCTCATCTAGTTCTGGCCTAGAGCAGGGGGCCAGGGGTGCCCCTACTTAGGCCAAATCCTGGCTGCCTTGGCCAGCACCTTCTTGCTGTAGGGCTCCCACTCTCATCCAGCGTCCTTCTCCATCCTGGCTCCTCTAGACCTAGAACTCACGGGCACAGGCCCTAGAGAGGCCACCACCTCCATAGCTCCAGGCATCACCCCAGGTGTAAGGGAGAGGATGGGCTCAGGCCAGGCTTAGCCAAGTCAGGCTTGGGATGCAGGAAGATGCAGCAGCTGGGCATGTGTGCACAGGCCCCTTGGCTCCCCTCCTGCCCTCTCAGCGGCTGCTCTTCTTCCTTTTAGGTAAATTTGTGGTAGATTCCTGAACCTGCAAACCCAGAGGTCTTGTCAGTACTCTACCCTGCCATGGCAGATGCTCCTTACTCCCCTCCTCCAGCTTCAAGGCTGCCCCATGGAGGCCTCCCAAGGAAGTCCTTCATATGTCTAGCCTGCCTAGTGTCCTCTCTGGGCTTGGGAGCCCAGGCTGTGGAGATTTACAGTCACAGTCAGACGGTGTGAGAAGCAGAAACTAATGTGTGTGTGTGCCTTTTTCTCCCCAAGAGGCTTCCTGCTCGACAGGACCCAGGGGTCCTTTGCCATCAGTGGGCATAAGTATCTGCCACTAAGCAGGAACGGAGCTGGCTCAAGCCTCTCTAAGAAAGGGTAGAGTTGAGGGCACTAGAATCAGAAGTGGCTCAATGAGAGGAATCTGATGGATTCCCGGGCTTCTTAAAGAAGGAAAGGTGGAACCTAACCAGATTGGCCGATTGGCCGTGACTGCTGGGGCTAAGAGTCTAGGGGGCGGGCCTAGGAATAGACAAACTTGGACTAATTCCTCAGAGACTAGGCTGGGCGGGGCGGGGCTGGGTAGGCTGGCGGGGTGAGCACAGATCGGGTAGGAGAGGGAAACGGTACCTTTTCCATCTGGACAAGCGCAGTGATCAAGTCTTGCTGGCTAGTCATCTCATGCAGGTCCAGGGAGGACTTGCTCTCCATCGACTGGACTGACAAGGGTCTGTGCAATAGCTCCTCCTCCTGCTCCTGGTTGAAGCGAATGGAGCGCACCTCCTCCACTATCCTGGGGGCGGAGGGGTGGGCCGTTCAGGGTAGGGGAAAAAGGGGCAGTCCTCCCACCTGTTCCCTGGTGTCCGCCCCCTTCACCCTCCTTCTTCACGCTGATAGAGATCCAGGCCAAGCCGGGAAGTCTGGATTCCAGCTCCTCCAAAAGGCTGGAGAACCATGGGCAAGCCACTTCACCTCTCTGGGCCTCAAGGACCACAGTATAAAATGGTGAGGACATAAGGCCAGAAGAATCTGAGGCTCTGCTCAGTCCTAACTCACGGGACTCAGGGGTACCCCCAGTAAACGCCCTACGTGTTGAGCTCATCTCGGATCTCTTGGTACTGCATCAAGTTCTCCTGTATCGCCTCGAGCACCAAACAAAAGTTGTCGCAAGCGCTTTCGGAGAGGTTGGACAGAGGGCCTCCCACAAGCGGCTCTTGGGGAAGGCCAGACATCTCCAAACGGGCCACCTCGCAGTGCACCAGGGGCAGGTCCGTGTTCCCGTACTCCTCCATATCTGTCTGGGAAAGGGGAAACGGAGAGGGGAGAGACAGCTCAGCCGGCACCCCCTGCCCCAGCCCCTTCCTGCTTGGCTTCAGAGAGGATGAGTCTCTTAGGACACCAGGATTCTAATGTCCCTTATTTCAGCTTCAACCAATCTTAGCCTTCTCGCTCCTGCTAAATCCTACCCAGCAAACTTCTAAAGCCCATCTGCTCCCAATTCACAGCTTAGTGACTTCCACACTGTGGGAAGTACTACACCATTCACCTCCCCAGCCCTTTGGAGGTTCTAACCCTGAATAAGTAATACTGTAGCTAACATGTAGTGAGTTCTTAGTACGTGTCAAGTACTGTTCATTTACCCATGCCATTCTCAGGATAGTACTTTGAGGTAAGTACTATCATTATTCCCATTTTACAGAAGAAGAAATCGAGGCTTAGATTGGTTAAATGCCCTAAGGTCATCCAGGCTACCCAGTTTGAGTTGCCATAGAAATAAAACATCTAGGAAATCCACAGCCCTCAGAAGCCCCAGTTGGTAAATTCGCACTCAAGGTGGGAAATGATGCCTCTGGGTCTCAGGCTTGGCTTGCTCCAGGCACTTGAGTGTGTGAGCACACACACACGTACCCCTATGCTCAAGTCAGCACTCATACATACACTCCCCCTCCTCCCTCTGCCCTCCCCATCTCACTCACCTCACTGAAGCCTATTTTATCCTGTCGTCCCTGCTCTCCTGACTTTATCATTTGCTCCAGGTTGGTGGTCACCACGACGACCAACAGGTTGATGCCAATAAGGGCACCAATAGTGATGAAGGTGATAAAGTAGAAGGCCCCCGCAACCTCCATTGCGTAGTCCCTGGTCTTCATCCTGGAGATGGCAGGTAGGGGCCCTGTCACCGCCCTGGCCCTTTGAGCTCAGTTTCCTCATCTATGAAATGGGGACATTATCTCAAGGCTACTAGGGCTTCTGCTGCCTCACTGCTACTGTGAGATCCAATGCCTACTTCTAATTGTACTGCCAGACAGCAGGGTCCTCAACCCACCCGGCAAGGTGGGGATTTGTACATCAGCATGATCAAGTTTAATCTATTGGCTATACTCTTTCTTATTATAAAAGATGATTCAAGCTCGTTATAGAAAGAGCAGAAGGAAAATATACAGGAAAAATCCCATCCACTGTTAACACATTGTATGCGGGAAACGTATTTATACGTTTTATAAATACGTTTCCCGCATACAATGTGTTAATACCTATTATAACTATCCCATAAAATATTCCCCAAATAATAGTGTGTCCTCTCTCTCTCTCTCTCCCCCCCTCAGTGTGTGTGTGTGTGTGTGTGTGTGTGTGTGTGTGTGTACTATGCCAGGTTCTATGCTAAGAGATTTATATTGATCCTCACAGCAATCCATGACATAGCTAATATTGTATTGTAACCCTCAATTGACAGATGAGGAAACTGAGGCTTAGGAAAGTAGTTTGCCCAAGGCCATATGGCCAGTGTGGTAGAGTAAAGACTCAGAAGCCCCGTCCCCCTTTATTGCACACTCTGTGGTTTCTCTACCACCTAAATCATGATGGATAATGATAGTAGAATCTCTTTGCCAATTGAGCTTCTACTCTCATATGAAGGGAATAAAAAGATATCATCAGTGGGCCCAAATCCCTGGAGCGGACTGGAAACAAATATGGGTTAGTCTTCATGGGAAAGCGGGAAAGGACAGAACCCAGGCAACCATCTGTGGCCAAACGGGACCTTGGGCAGTGAGTCTAAGAATCAATGAAATGAGACCCTAGGTTCCCAGGAGTCCAGACAGTTTGGTAGGCCCCAGTGTGGGCTGGGAGGCTGCCCTAAAGCGCTAGTGCAACCACAGACAGCTCCTGTGCCCAAGGCCTGCCAACCCGGCTATTTAGCACGATGGGAGAAATATCCATGAATAGGCCTGTGGTGGGACTTTGATTGGTTGGAGTTTCAAGGGGACAAGCCTTCAAGTAGCCCACAAACCCAGAGGCCCCAGACCAGGGATCTCTTTTCCTCCTTTAAAGCCCTGACACCCGTTTCCTGCTGGGCCATCCTCATCCCCAGCCCTGGAGCTCCACACCCACCCGGAGCCCTTTTCCCTCTCCAGTCGGTATTTTGTTTCATGGGAGCCCAGCCCCTGCCTTGCCTGGATGGGCTGGGGGTCAGAAGCCTCCCAGGGACTCACTGAAAGTCATTGTAGATATCCACCCAGCCATCTTGGGTGATGCAGATGAAGAGGGTGTACAGGGCCACCTGCATGTTCTGGAAATGCTTGGGCACGAATGCACCAAAGAGAGTGACCCCAAACACGGAGAACACCTGCCAGAGAGACCGAAGACCCGTCTGACTTCACACAAGAGCCTTGGAGACAGCACATACAAATGAACGCTGCCAAGGGAATCACAGGGATTTGGGCCCATAAGCCTCTCCTCTTCTCCAGACACCCCTGTATCCCCAGTGACCCATGACCTGTTCAGGGAAGGGGAATGGCTGGGGTGGGGGAGAGACTGACCAGCATGAAGAAGAGGATGAGGCCCATGATATTGGCCATGTCAGGCACCGACTGCAGGATGACGCGAATGATCCGGGCCAGGGGCTCCACAGACATGCACACATGCACGAGACGAAGGACCCTGTAGCAGAGCCTCTCAGGGATGCCCCTCAGCCTTTCCCAGACCCCTCCTCCACACTGCCACCCTACCTGCCCAGACAGGCAGAACTACCCCCAGTTGGTAATAGCCCCCCATCTCTTCCCCAGGGTCCAGGCAGGTCCCCCTCTTTTCTCCAGAGTTCCCAGCTCACCTGAGGGTGTAGGTGATAGAGATGACATTGAGTTCACTAATGAAGAACCCCAGGAGCAAGATAAAGATGATAAGGAAGTTGAGGATGTTCCAGCCGTCCTGGGGGTTGGGGTGGGCCAGCCCCAGTGGGGTCTGTCAGGCCCAGCCCATGGAGACATCCTGGGTCTGCCTTCCCCACCCCCCAAGGATGAGGGGATCTTCTCACAGCAGGGCCAATCATCTGCCATTCACTGTTGTTACTCATTCTGTTGCCCACAAAACATGTCACCCAATAGGCATGCACTTGCTGTCTCATACATGTGTCAACAGCCAAGTGCAGTCTCAGAGACACACAGTGTATGATCGCACATACATACAAGCTAGTTCCTCAGCTGAGCACCCCCTTGGTTGGTGCACTGCTGAAAATGGCCTTGTCCTACAGTTAAGTGACAAGAGAGTGTTGGGATGCTCCATTCTTTGTGTGACACACACTCCAATTAATAATAAAAGGAAAATAAATACTAATGAAAACATGAAAGACCACTGCTTCAGTAGCCAGTTCAGAGGTGAACTAGCTCTCACTGTATAAGAGAGACAGGACATTTTTACAAGCCCTTTGTCCAATAAGGCACAGACTCATCTAGGAGTGGGGATGGGGGAAGGGCACTCCCAGAGACGAAAATTCAAGCACAATGACTAAAGAGGGGACTTTGCTCTATCTCACAAACAATATGTGCATTGACCTTTTGACCAGTGATCCCACTTCTAGACACCTGACCCACAGAAACTCTAGTTCAAGTACAAAATGACATTTGTATGAGGTTGAAAACAACCAAAGTGTCCAGCAAGTGGGCCCCGGTTGAACAAACTATTACATATTCATTCACTGGAGTAGTACCGTTGAGCCATTAAAAAAAGAAAAGTAAAAGATCTTCATGTATTGACATAGAAAGTTTGCCAAGATCCATTAAGTGACAAAAGCAAAGTGCAGCCCTAGCTGGTTTGGCTCAGTGGATAGAGTATTGGCCTTCAGACTGAAGGGTCCCTGGCTCAATTCCAGTCAAGGGCACATGCCTGGGTTGCAGGCTCAATCCCCATTAGGGGGCATGCAGGAGGCAGCCAATCAATGATTCTCTCTCATCATTGATGTTTCTATCTCTCCCTCCCTCTCCCTTTCTCTCTGAAATCAATAAAAAATATATTTTAAAATATTTAAAAAAGCAAAGTGCAGAACAGTGACAACAGTATGTTACTGTTAGGAAAGGGAGGACTAAAAATATATACTTGTTTGCTTATGATTGCAAAATAAACAGAGGTAGGATAAGCAAGAGACTATAAATATACAAAGATTACCTAGAGAGGGTGGGGTGGAGAGAAAGGGATGAAAGGAAAGGAATGAAAGCAAGAATTCTGTGTGTACTTTTCAATATAGTTTTGACCAATATGTATCTGCACTAAATATTTTTTAATGAAAAAAATGTTCTTAAATTCCTTGGGTAGTCTAATAAACACAAGCTTGCCCAGTGTCCCAAGTTCAGAATGTCTGTGCCTACACATCCACAAAGAGACACAAGTCTGCCTGTCTAAAGATTCATCCCTCTACCCATCCGGTATTAAACACACTATATGCCAGACCCTGAACCAGATTCTGAAGACACAGGATTTCTGCACTGCTGGGTTCACAGCTTATTTTATTTTGAGGGAGTTGGACAGGCAGTAAACTTTAACTCTAAGCAAGAAAGATAAGCACATAATATTAGGGAGACACAGAGCAACAACTAATCTAGTCTGGGAGAGACAGGAAGTCTTCCTGGAAGAGAGGACATTTGAATGAATCTTAAGCTGTAAGTAGAAGTAAAGCAAGTGAATAAGTGGCATAGACAGGGGTCAGCATGGACAAGGATATGGAGGTGAGAAGCACTGTGTGTGTGTGTGTGTGTGTGTGTGTGTGTGTGTGTGTGTGTATGCAACTACAAGCAGTTTGGTGCAGTTTGGTGCAGCTGGAACAGCCAGGAGTGATGAGGCTGCAAAAATAAGCAAGGATACTTTGGCTTGTGCCTTAGGAAGATCACTTTGATGACAGGTGGGGACACAGGAAGCCATAGCAACATCCTGGTGAGGGAAGACAAAGCAAGAGCTAAAACAGGGATAGGAGAAATTTGACGAGATGGGGGGGGGGGGGCGGGTTCAGGGTGGTATGGCCATACCATAGACAGGGATAGCAGAAATTTGAGAAAGATTTAGGTGGTGGAATAGTGATTAATAGGCTGTGGAGGTGAGGAGAAGGAAGGAGTCACGCACAGATGATAAAAAAAAGGGGAGAGCTGGGGACAAAATTGGGGATCCCTATGTGACTGGGTAATATTTGAGATGTTAATTTCCAGACTTCCTCCCTTCCCTGTATTTATCCCTTTCTTTCCTCTCGACAACCCCTCCACCACACCCTTGCAACAGGGATCAGATTTTGTGTTTTAGGATCCAGGGGGAAGGGTGGGAGTGGGGAAGGAGGCAAAAACAGCTTCTAACCAGCCCTCGCTTTTGGCACTGGTAGCCTGGCCACAGAGGAAAGGTTAGGTTTTGGAACATTATCTCAGCCAGGGGTGATTTTGCCCTCCAGATGACATTTGGCAATGTCTGGGGACATTCTTGGTTATCACAACAAGGATGGTGCTAATGGTATCTAGTGGGTAGATGCCAGGAATGCTGCTAAACATCCGACAATGCATGGGACAGTCCCCACAACAAAAAAGTATCCAGGCCTAAACGTCATTATTGTAGTGCTGAGGTTGAGAAACCCTGGCTTATGGAATGGCTTGGAGGAACACAAAATCCTCATGCTTGCTTCAAGTCTCCTGTGCTAAGACACTCTGGGACAAATCCCTAAGTGTTGCTGAAAGAAATCTCAGGAAGATGAAGGAGGAATGTTCCCTCCTAGTAAGTAGATGTCTGCCTGCATCCTAGAGCTAGTTCTGAAAGAGCAGTGCAGGGAAATGTTCACAAAACCAAGGTATCTGAGATATGTCAATACGAACCATCCTATTCTTTTTTTAAAAATTGATTTCAGAGAGGAAAGGAGAGAGAGATAGAAACATCAATGATGATAGAGAATCATTGATCGGCTGCCTCCTGCATGCCCCACAGTGGGGATGGAGCCCACAACCCGGGCATATGCCCTGACCGGGAATTGAACCATGACCTCCTGGTTCATAGGTAGATGCTCAACCACTGAGCCACGCCGGCCAGGCTCCTTTTTCTGTTAATAAGCATCCTTACAAGTGTTGTTTGCCCAAAGCAGTCTTTAAGACATTCAGACTTCACAATTTTTGTTCTAGATTCTACATTCTGTGTTCTATGAAGTGAAACCTCTAACCCATGGAAAGCTTATAATTCGAATTGGTTGTTCTAGTAACTATATTTAAATACTTCCTTTTTATGAGAGGGTTCTTTTTTGGGTAGTGTTGTTTTTTTTTTGTAAGCCTCTTCTCGAAAATGCCCAAAGGCAAATAAATCCCTTGGCTCCTGAAGTCCTATTCAAACAAAGAGTTTGATCCCTTGGCTCCTGAAGTCCTATTCAAAGAGTTTGATTTAATGTAACTTTCAGATCTATTCCTACAGAGACAGCTCCTCAACATTCTCCAGAACAGGGCCAACTCTAGGCCAGGGGCAAATCTGACCAGCAGCTCTTTTTTTGTAGAACGCTCAGGCTAAGAATGGTTGTTGTTGTTGTTTTTAAGGAGGGGGGGGGGATCAAAAGAATAACATGTGGTGACACATGCAAATTATATGAAGTTCAAATCTCAGTGTCCTTGAGTGAGATTATTTGGAGCACAGCCATGTTTATTCACCTATGTGCTGCCTACAGCTTCTCTGTGCTCCCACTGCTGAGACGAGTGTTTGCAACAGAGACGAGAGCCCACAAAGCCTAAAATCTTTATCTGGCTCTTGATAGAAAAAGTTTGTTGACTCCTACTCTTGAACCCTGTAAATTAAGGTAAATGCTCTCAATCTCATTTCCTATATAAGGACATCAAGGTTTTCCCAGGATCACAGGATGGGGGAAGGCTGGAGCAGAGCCTGGGACCCAGGGAGGCTGCACTTCTAGTATAAGTTACTATATCAGACATCTCAGAAGTAGTCTCTCTCTCTCTCATACACACACACACACACACACACCTCAATCTTCAGGGCCAGGAGCACAGGGATGGGGACTGGACGGGGTACACTTCGTAAGGAGGGGTAAGGGCGATGGCAGGGAGGGCCCAGGATCTCACCTTCCAGAAAATCCAGAAGCCATTTAACCAGCCAAGGAGAACCTCACAGATAAGGATGGTCAGCACAATGTCATCTATGGTAGAGAACAACTCATAGTGTCTCTACATGGAAGACAGAGAAAAAGAGAGGGACAGAGAGGTCAGTGGAGTGGGGGACTGGGCGGGGCTAGGGAGAGAGGACATCGTGGGGGGAGGGAAGGCCCATATTCCTGCTGCTCCTCATCCTCAGCATCTTTGTAGCTCTTTTATTTTATTTTATATACTTTTAAATATATTTTTGTTTATTTCAGAGAGGAAGGGAGAGGAAGAGAGAGATAGAAACATCAAGGATAAGAGAGAATCATTGATTGGTTGCCTGCATCTCCCTATTGGGGATGGAGCCCGAAACTCAGGCTTATGCCCTTGACTGGAATTGAATCCCAGGACCCTTCAGTCCACAGGCCGACACTTTATCCACTGAGCCAAACCAGCTAGGGATGTAGCTCCTTTAGAGCACATTTTGCATGTACATGCCAGGCACCTTGCTAAGACCGCATATGCATTATTTTGTTTTACTGTCACCATCATCCTAAAAAGTAGGCTGCATTCTCATCTTACAGATGAGAAATGAGTGGTGCTCAAGGTCAGACAGCAGTAAAGATTGTTGTCCAGCCCTGGCAGGTGTGACTTGGTTGGATGTCCTCCGGCGCACCAAAAGGTTGCCAGTTCAATTCCCAGGCGGAGCACAATTCTGAGTTGTGGGCTCGATCCCTGTTATGGGGCATGAAGGAGGCAGCCGATCAATAGTTCGCTCTCACATCAATGTTTCTCTCTTTCTCCCTCTCCCTTCCTCTCTCTCTAAAAATCAATTTAAAAAAAAAATAGATTGTTGTCTGACTACAAACCTTTGCTCCCCTAGACTAAGGATACTTGGAAAAGGGAGACTGGGAGAGGCAGAACTGGCTCCAGAATTGGGAGGAAAAGCCCTAGCCCCTGAGATAGGAGACACCAAGCTCCATCCTTTCTTCTCTGATTGTCCCAACCACTCTTGCTGCTCCAGCTCCCAAATCCCCTAGGCCAACCTGACCAAGCTCCTGAGTATCTCCTCCAGGACATGTTCTCTGGATGAATGGATTGTGGCCAGATGACTTGATGACTGAATTCTGTTTAAACCCCAACTCACTTTCACCCAAACTAGATACTACTCCCTTAGCTCCCCCGAAGCTGTGACGCCACTATAGTCTGTGACTCTATTAATAGCTCCCAGACCCCTGACTCTACCCTGGCAGTTACCAAAGTCACCTGGACGCCTCCCTTTCTTCACTTCCATGGCCAATAGACTCTGCCCCAAGGCTCACTGCCACACATGAAAGCCTCTTGCTACCACACCTTGCCATCACCCCCATCCACCAGCTGGGCAGAGCTTCTTAAACCCAGATGAGAGGTTAAGTTTTATGGGTTCCAAATTCCCAAAAAGCATCATGGGCCAGGGATGTCTGCCCATAACAAGGAAGACTTTCTGTCCCCTCATCTGTCACCTCAGTTCCGCCCCACTGGCCACTGAAGGCAATAGGCTCCCCTATTTATAGAAAGAATTTCCTAAATAGTCCTCCTGCCTTCTCCAAGTCATGGGCATCTATGTCTACATCAGAGTTGCCTTCTCCACCACTAGACTTCCATGGTTCCCCATGACCTTCAGGGTAAGGTTCAAATTAGTCTGGCGTTCACAGGCTTCTAGGATTCGACCTCCATGACACATATCCTATACCAGTGCTTTTGCCATTTTTGACTAGGACCCATAATAAGAAATCTATTTTACATCTTACAACATAACTCTCTCCTCTCTCTCTCTCTCTCTCTCTCTCTCTCTCTCTCTCTCTCTCTCAATTTCTATTTAATTCTTTTTCATCCTACTATTTCATTCTATATCACAATGTTAGTATCTGCACTCTGAATTGATTTCATGATCCATCAATGTGTGTGATCTGCCTCCCCATCTACTCATCTTCCAAATCTAGCAATAGGATTTCTGTTAATACCGTATCAAGGTCATAAAAGCTAAATCCAAGGGGTACTTAGTCCTTACTGCCTGGTCTCTTAGCCACATCTGCCGTTGTGCCCACTCCCCTGAGCGTACACTGTCCTGGGTTTCCTCCCACTCCTCTGGCACGCCTTCTCCTCAGTTTCCCTTGTACCTCCTCTTCCACTTTCTGCCCTTTACTTACGGGTTCTCCTCTAGAGCTCTGTGTTGGCCTGTTCTCACTCAATTCTCTCTCCCCAGGCAACCTCATCAATTCCTTTAGCTTCGGCAACTATCCACCCAGATGCTGGCAACTCTCTTGTCACCACCTCCATCCCAGTGTTCGCTGAGGCATTTCAGAATTGACCTCTAACCCCTCACTATCTCTGTGTGGATACTGCATGGGCACCACAGACTCTACACAACTCAAACTGAACTCAGCATCCTCCCCAAACCTGCTCATCCTATGTCCCCATGTCCCAACAAAAAGCACCAGAAACTTAACTTCTTGCTCTCCCTTTCTGCGTGTACGTGAGGTGGTGACAAATGTTAAACGAGGCAGCACATGTCAGTGCTCACTAAGTGTTTGCTCTAAAGTAAATCAATCTATAAGGCCCATGGATCCAACTCCTAGGGAACTTCAGATGCATGTGACCTCTTTTTACCGACTGCCATTAGCCTGGTCCAAGCCCCATCAGCTTTCACCTGAACATCTCCAACACGATCTTGCCTGCTTCACTGTTTCCCATTCTTGATACTCCCCCTTCCGTAGCCCTCACTGTGGCAGACAGGGTCAGTTTTATAACATGCCTGGTCATGTCACTTCCATGCTTTAAACTCTTCCCTGGCTTTCCAATGACATAGGATAAAGACCACCCTCCTTGACATAACTTAAAGGCCCTGCCCCTGACCACCGTTCTGAACTCATCAGCCACCGCATTGAACATTTAAAAAATATTGATTTTTAAATAGCACAATCCATGTATGTTGTATATTCCTTGTAAGAAAAAAGCACGAGACCAGTGTCACACATAGAACACACATGCTATTTCTCCTGCCCCCAAACACTCTTCCTCACCTCTCTTTGCCTGGCCAACTTCTACTCATTCTTTATTCTCTGCTTAAGTGTCCCTTTCTCCAGGAACCCTTCCTCAATCCATCAGGTTTGATGCCTTCTCCATGTGCTCTGACACGCAGGCATTTATAATGACATGTTTGTGTCTAAGACAGAACTGCATCTGTTGTGTTCATACCTGGAACCCTAGCCCTGAGTACAGTGCATGGTACAGAGCGATTCTCTCTCAGTGACTAGTGAGTAAAATGGGATACCTTTGCCCTAGCCGTTGTGGCTCATTTGGTTGGGCATCCTCCCATGCACCAGGAGATTGCTAATTCCATTCCCAGTCAAGGGTACATGCCCAGGTTGTGGGCTTGATCCCCAGTACAGGAGGCAGCCGATCAATATTGCACTCTCACATCGATGTTTCTCTTGTTCTCTCCCCCTCCCTTCCTCTCTATCTAAAAATCCATTTTTAAAAATCTTATAAATAAATAAGGGATACCCTTCCCTACAAGGCATCTGTTTGCCTGCCTCTGCTCACACCATTTTCCCCCTGCCCTTCCTGTACAAATGCAATGTGTTCCTCAAAGCTGGGCCCCCTCCACCACAATGTCTTCCTTTATCTCTAGACCACTGGAAGGTCAGTGCTGGCAGGCCCTCGAAGAGCAGCCAATCCAATCATCATGGACAGAGGAGGATCCTGAGGCCCAGAGAGGGAAGTGCCTTACCCAGGCCCCCATTAGGTCAGTGGGTGCAGAGGTCAGGCTAGAATCCCACCTGGCCAAGGACGAAATTGGTGCGAGCGCAACGGTGATGGCATTGACCACCAGCAGCATGGCCAGCAGCAGCTGAAACGTCAGTGTGGAGCAGCTGCTTGACATACATTC